CATAGCGCTGTACAATTGGTGGACTAACAGACAAGTATTTGTAACCAGACGAGTTGAACACACAGGGTGTGGGGAGGGAAACATGTTCACAGTTTAATTGATATGCTTTCCTAAAGAAGTAAGTTTTTGGGTGAAAGTCTAACAGAGAGGGGAAGGGCCTTCCATAGGCATGGTGCAGCCCTAGAGAAGTCTTTAAGGTGAGCATCAGAGGTAGGAGGACGAACATAGGCATAGGGGGCTAGATGGGACCTATTTGTGTATTAGTGAGGATAAGTAGGTCAGAGCAGCATTGTGTAGAGATTTATAGGCAAGTTTCAGGATCTCAAATTGAGTCCTGTATCTTACAGGAAGCCAATGTAGGGACTGACAGAAGGGGGAGGCATGGGAGGTGCAGGCGGACAGGAAAATGAGCCTCGCTTCCGCATTCATTATACACTGTAACGGGGCAAGTTGGGAACATATAAGACCACTGAGAAGTGGATTACAGTAGTCGAGAAAGGACAGCAGCATAGACAAGCACCTTTGCCATATGAGGTGTTGAATAGGGTCGGATGTGCGCAATATTTTTGAGATGGAAGCAGCATTTTATAAAATTAGAACATGTGTAAAAGAGCCATGACCAGACTGGAGCAGTTTAAATGGAGTTGAAGAGAAATGGATTATTTAAAAGTTGCACTAATTCCATTAGGCTTGTTAGTAAGAGCAGAAAAATGTAGAAACAACTGTGGTACTCTGCAGAAGTGCCCAAAATAGTAAAAAACTAAAAGTTAGCATTTAGTAATTATAAATAAAAAATAAAATAACAGAGTGAGGAAAATAGACATATAAGATTAGGCAGAAAGAGACTAAGCAAGTTATAAGAGTTTCCAAAGCAAACACAGATGAGAAAATAGCCCAGTCAGTAAAAACGGGGACAAAACATTTTTTTTAGATACATAAATGAGAGAAGGAAACTAAAACAAGGATCAGTTAGACAAGGGGTAGTCAACCTTTTTCTACCTACCGCCCACTAATGAATCTTTCTTGATGGAAAAATTTCCTTACCGCCCACCAGTTTTCCCGCAAGTGCGGAATATTTTTTAGAATGAGGGTGTTTAAAAAAAAAAAAAAGTACGTACATTTATCTTTTTATTTCTACTTTATGCATGTTTACAATGTTTTTAACTTTAGAAAGTTTAATGAGAAAACAATTAAGTAAATTGAAATTACCTTTACCAGTGATTAATGAGATCCTTGAGGCTTATGCTGCAAGACTAAATATTTGATATCTGGTTCGATTTTCGTAAGGAACAAACAAAGGTCTCCTCTTTTGGTGACGATTTCTCTGTTTGCTTATAATATGATTTCTCATCCGTGCATCAGCTCCCCTCCTCTCCCTTCCTCAATTCCCCCCCTCCCCCCTCCCTTTTTTTCCTTTTTTCTATTTTTTTACCTTCCTTATGGCTATGCCCAGAAGGAAGGCTGAGCTAGGTAGCCCACTTATTATTATTATTATTATTATTATTAGCCAACAACATTTCTCTCCTTTTTCTTTTTATATTTTTTATTTTCCTTCTTTCTCCTTTTTTACAAGTACTCTGCTCCTTCTTTCTCCTATTCTACAAATACTCTGCTCCTTCTTTCTCCTTTTTTTTTTTACAAGTACTCTGCTCCTTTCTCCTTTTTTACAAGTACTCTGCTCCTTCTTTCTTCTATTCTACAAGTACTCTGCTCTTTCTTTACAAGTACTCTGCTCCTTCTTTCTCCTTTTTACAAGTATTCTGCTCCTTCTTTCTCCTATTCTACAAATACTCTGCTCCTTCTTTCTCCTTTTTTTACAAGTACTCTGCTCCTTCTTTCTTCTATTCTACAAATACTCTGCTCCTTCTTTCTCCTTTCTTTACAAGTGCTCTGCTCCTTCTTTCTCCTATTCTCCAAATACTCTGCTCCTTCTTTCTCCTATTTTCCAAGTACTCCACTCCCTGCTATCGTGTATCCCCCTACCTACTCCAACTCCTCCCCTTCCTCTACCCATCTGTTACACTCGTTCACGAGCACACGCATTTGTACGTGCATACGCCCGTGCGATATGGGCGCACATGCGCATTCAGGCACACACGCTCGCGCTTTCATGCACTCGCATCTGCGTTCATCTCTATGGATGGAGGGAGGATTCTGCTACCGCCCACCTGGAATCCCAAAACATCCACTGGTGGGCGGTGGGGACCAGGTTGGCAACTCATGAGTTAGACAAAAAGTTTTGATTCCAGTATTGTTGAATGGGTTAGGCAGTGGTAGGCAGTGGTTTGGGATTTTGTGACTATAAAAGTTGTAATCTCAGCATGCAAAATCTTGCAAAGTTTTAGCTTTAAAACCATAAATAACTTCATGCGCTAGTTGTTTTATAACTTCTAAAAATGTTTTAAAATCCTTGACATATTAGGCATTTTAACAATCAGGACTCATTAATAAATCTATTTTGAGTTAGTTTTGTTTATTAGCTCTTGGTGTGTAGAAATGATTAAATGTAAAACTGAGAAAAATGTGTGTTTTTTATTTTTCAATGTTTTATTCCTATTCGATATTGTGTTATCAAAGGGTATCAAAAGAAATCCATATTTCTTCTTTGAAAAATTATATATAATGTGTATGGATGCAAATTAACAGAAAGGGAGTAAGTATGGCAGAATTTAAAAAAATGTGCAAAATTTTAAATTATCTTTACATTCTTACTTTTAGTGAATAAACCTCATAATGTAATTTTAGTGTAACTGAATTAGCAAAAAAACGCAATTTCCTCAAAGCACCCCAAAAGCAATTAAGCTCGCTGAAGTGCTCTGTGGATGAGGAGTATCCTATTTGAAGACCGGTTAATAAAAGTGCCAATTTCAATGAGAAATTTAAACTTTTATAAATAAATTAAGGAACATCCACTGACTGTCAATCAAAACAAAATGGTGTGCGTGGGTGCATGAGTGCACCAATTTAGAGGCCTCTAGTTTTACACATAAGAGGGAAAGGGGAGATTAAGGTGTGTGTTCTCTGCAAGGGTAGAAGCTCATTACACAGTTTGCCCTGATGACATATGTAATATTTGCACATAATTAACAGAAGGCAGCCTGCAACAGAGCTGCCTACGTCATCTTTGCAGGAAAACTGAAAATATCTCTGTATGTGTAGTGTTTTGAAGCAGAAATGCTGCACTTACAGATTCCTGCAACTAACTAAAAGCAGAAGTGGTCATGGAGGTTGGAGCAATCCTTTTAACTTTTAACTGAATTCTCCCTTTAATGAATAACCATCTATGGATCTCAAACATTATTTGAAAGAATGGATGTCAAGGTGCACGCATATTTGCCCTTGAATTGAGTGAGCTGCACTACTTCATGTAAGTCATGAAGAAACACCATAACCATGTTGTCCAATACTATATCAGTTCATCAAGTCTTACCTCTTAGAATAGACTGCTAAAATTAAAGAAAATAACAATGAAACACAATAGAATGTTTCCTAAAACATACTTTCTGTTTTTTGATAAATATGGCTCATAGGTCTAGATCTATTGTATAACATGGCTCCCAAATATCCTGCTTTTGGAGGAAAAGTCACGATTTAGGGGTAGGGGTCCTGTCCCACCATCCCGATTCTCAGGGTTATTTACTAAAGTGAGAATTCTAAGTGAATTTTAATTTTAAGGACAGAGTAGCTGAAGTGAAAGCATCGATTATTTAAGAAATGTAAATGTTTTCAGTTCAGCAATTTGACCTTTAATTTAAAATTCACTTTGAATATACATTGGATTCTCACTTTAGTGAATAACCCTGTTAGTTTCCTGGAGTCCTGCATCTGGGGACACTACAGAACTGTCCCTGGGCAGCAGAGCAGGAAAACATCATTAGACATGCTTGTGCTGTGCAGATGGCACTAGGATGAAGAGAGCTTTTCAGCAGTGCTCTGTGTGGTCATGTAGGGTGGGGGACAACAAGGAGGCTGACTCCCCTTCAGTGGGTGTTTTTCAATGGGTGTCATATGGGATGATAAAACATTTTTTAATTTTTTTTTGCAATTCAGATTTTATTGAAAGTTTTTCAAGTATAAAATGGGGTACAGAAAAAGAAAAGGGCTGTCTAGGAGGGAGGGAAACAGGATTTGTATCACATCATTTTGTAATAAACAAGAAAAACCAATATACTTTGATGGATATTCCCACAATAAATCATTGGCTTTATTTATTCAACATACACATTACATCACCTTGTTTGCAATCTTTTTTTAGAATTCGTTATTTTAATCCGATCAGCGTTAAGTAGTAAACAATAGACAGCTGTCGGTTTCATTACAATTTCTCAATAAAGAAGGTTATGTAAGGGGTAATACAGAGTCACATCATCGGCATTGCAGTCGAACACGACTATTCCAACATGTACATTTGCTCCCTGAGTATTGAGACCCGGTTTCTAAGTTTATAGTAGGGCCGGCTATGTCGTCCCTCTCTACGAATTGTTTGCTTTGTGTAGGTCAGGACTGCCTGGGCAGCTGTTGGCAGAGGTAGTGTTGGGTGCATGCTAACCTGAGTCATTGGTGTTGTTGGGATGTGATTGCCCCTTTTCGCGTGGGTGTTTGAATGGGGCTGTAGACCTCATCCTTGAAAGTCTTAGAGATCGAGAGACTATGCTGTGTCTGCACTGCCAATTGTTTGTCCTAGTTGGTGGTTGTGTGGTGTCCAGGAACTATAGTAGCTTAGGCCCTACTTGTTCCGTTTCTCGATTGTCAAGCTGCGGGTGTCACGGGTTTTGGGTCTGTCGTCGGGTGCAATGGTACCTTAATGTGAGATCTGCGTGGGGTGGGGGAGGGGTTAACTGAGGGGTTCGAGGGGAGATTCGTTTGTAGAGGGGTGAGGGACGAGGGTTAAGTGGTGAGAGTGGATGTGTTTTGCCCGAGTTACATCATTCTGGTCCGTGCTATATTGATGAAGGGTTCTAGGGTCGAGTCTTCTTAAGCGGCTTTATGGCGGATGCCATCTACCAAGACAGTGTGGTATCTCCGTTGAGCCATGGGTCCCAAGTCTTATGGAAGTGTTTGGCAGTTTCATGTATCTGGGCTATGAGGCCGCCCATCTTATGTGCGATGATGGTGTGTGAGGGAATGTGCAGTGTGGTCCATAACTCCATAATTGCCCTGCGTGTTGCCAGTGCTATCCTTGCAATTAACTTGTTCTCTGCTCTGGTGAAGAAGTCTAGGGGTTTGGACAGCAGTAGCATCTGGATCCATAGGGCATGGCTTGTTGAACAATCTAGTGATTAGTGCTGTGATGCTGTGCCATAAGGGCTGTAGTTTGGGGCATCCTTTCCAGCAAAGATTGGTTGTGGCTATTTGCATAGTGGCCAGTCGTTGGGGCATTAAGTACCACCAAAATAGCATTTTGTAGGCCTGTTCTTTTTGTGTCAGGCAAATAGATATGGAGGCTGTTGCTTCCCAATTTCAAACCAGTCAGTGGGGTCGTCGGGAGGGCCCAGGTCTTTTTCACAAGCCTTTATATATGGTAGTGTAAGGTGTACAGGTCCGAGATTTGTCCCCTTCGTATTGGGTGTTCCATACAGTCTAGTTCGAATTGTGTTAGTGGGGCTGTGCCTGCCTGCTTGATAATGGGTGTGGATGCAAAGCTGAAGTGGTCGAATGTGGTGAGGGTATTGCTGTCTGGTATGTCCTTGTAGGCTATGATTGTGTTGTTACAGGGAGTGCAGAATTATTAGGCAAGTTGTATTTTTGAGGATTAATTTTATTATTGAACAACAACCATGTTCTCAATGAACCCAAAAAACTCATTAATATCAAAGCTGAATATTTTTGGAAGTAGTTTTTAGTTTGTTTTTAGTTATAGCTATGTTAGGGGGATATCTGTGTGTGCAGGTGACTATTACTGTGCATAATTATTAGGCAACTTAACAAAAAACAAATATATACCCATTTCAATTATTTATTATTACCAGTGAAACCAATATAACATCTCAACATTCACAAATATACATTTCTGACATTCAAAAACAAAACAAAAACAAATCAGTGACCAATATAGCCACCTTTCTTTGCAAGGACACTCAAAAGCCTGCCATCCATGGATTCTGTCAGTGTTTTGATCTGTTCACCATCAACATTGCGTGCAGCAGCAACCACAGCCTCCCAGACACTGTTCAGAGAGGTGTACTGTTTTCCCTCCTTGTAAATCTCACATTTGATGATGGACCACAGGTTCTCAATGGGGTTCAGATCAGGTGAACAAGGAGGCCATGTCATTAGATTTTCTTCTTTTATACCCTTTCTTGCCAGCCACGCTGTGGAGTACTTGGACGCGTGTGATGGAGCATTGTCCTGCATGAAAATCATGTTTTTCTTGAAGGATGCAGACTTCTTCCTGTACCACTGCTTGAAGAAGGTGTCTTCCAGGAACTGGCAGTAGGACTGGGAGTTGAGCTTGACTCCATCCTCAACCCGAAAAGGCCCCACAAGCTCATCTTTGATGATACCAGCCCAAACCAGTACTCCACCTCCACCTTGCTGGCGTCTGAGTCGGACTGGAGCTCTCTGCCCTTTACCAATCCAGCCACGGGCCCATCCATCTGGCCCATCAAGACTCACTCTCATTTCATCAGTCCATAAAACCTTAGAAAAATCAGTCTTGAGATATTTCTTGGCCCAGTCTTGACGTTTCAGCTTGTGTGTCTTGTTCAGTGGTGGTCGTCTTTCAGCCTTTCTTACCTTGGCCATGTCTCTGAGTATTGCACACCTTGTGCTTTTGGGCACTCCAGTGATGTTGCAGCTCTGAAATATGGCCAAACTGGTGGCAAGTGGCATCGTGGCAGCTGCACGCTTGACTTTTCTCAGTTCATGGGCAGTTATTTTGCGCCTTGGTTTTTCCACACGCTTCTTGCGACCCTGTTGACTATTTTGAATGAAACGCTTGATTGTTCGATGATCACGCTTCAGAAGCTTTGCAATTTTAAGAGTGCTGCATCCCTCTGCAAGATATCTCACTATTTTTGACTTTTCTGAGCCTGTCAAGTCCTTCTTTTGACCCATTTTGCCAAAGGAAAGGAAGTTGCCTAATAATTATGCACACCTGATATAGGGTGTTGATGTCATTAGACCACACCCCTTCTCATTACAGAGATGCACATCACCTAATATGCTTAATTGGTAGTAGGCTTTCGAGCCTATACAGCTTGGAGTAAGACAACATGCATAAAGAGGATGATGTGGTCAAAATACTCATTTGCCTAATAATTCTGCACTCCCTGTAGAGTACAGGTGTCCCAGTTTGGATATGTTTCATTTTTCAAAGTTGGCAAAGTGTATTGGGGTGAGACCTGGACAGAAGAGCTTGTTTCTTCAGATGGAGGTGACCGGGGACAAGAAGTACAGGTCGAATCTGTCCCTCACCTTGTCCCACAAGTCAAGTGAGTAGGTGATTGTGGGGGCTGTTGGTGGGGGCAGCGGTTGCTGTGATCTAGGTAACCACATGTATAACAATGGGTGGTCCCACCCGAATATCATGTGCTCGAGGTACACCCATCGTTTCTGGTTGGGTGGTAGATGCCATTGCTGTATTTGGGCAAAGTGTGTCGCTGTGAGATAGTGTGTGAAGTTAGGGAGACCTAGACCTCCAGCTTGTTTGGGGACATAGAGTGTGGCCTTCTGCACTCTGGGTTTGTGTCCCTTCCAGACAATGGAGTCCACTGCCCCTTGAAGAGCTTTGAGGTCCTGTTTGTGTAGTGGTATGGGTAGGGTCTGAAATATGTAGAGAGATCTGGGTAGGAGATTCATTATAATTGACGTGACTCTACCCAGTCACGATATCCCCAGTGAGTGCCACTACACTAGGTCTTTGTGTGCTTTTTTTAGGAGGGGTGTGTAGTTCGCCTCGTAGAGGTTTGCTATGTCATTGATCAGCTGGATGCCTAGGTATGTGATGGATGTGGGGCAGGTGCAGAATGGTTATAGGTTTTGTAGGTGTTCCAGCCGTGGTCTGTCTATGTTAACGGGTAGGAGTTCCGACTTTGTTCCATTTAGCTTATATCTGCTCAGTATGGAGTAGGTCTGTATTAAAGTTAGCGTGGCTTCTATGGACGTTTCGGGGTTTGTGAGTGTTAGCAGAATGTCATCCGCATATGCTGTGACTTTGAAGGTTTCTCCTTGTATTTGTATTCCCTCTATCTCTGGGCTATCGCGCATCGCTTGCAGCAGTGGTTCGAGTGAAACCGCAAATAGTAGGTGCGAGAGGGGACATCCCTGCCGCGTGCCGTTGGTGATTGGGAAGCGTGGTGGAGTTATGTTGGGGAGAAGGAGTGCCCCTTGCAGGTTCTGATAAATGGTCTGTAGAAAGGATATGAAGGCCCTCGGGAATTCATATCGTGCTCGGTTGTGGTAGAGAAATGGCCATAGTAGGCAGTCAAACGCCTTTTCGGCATCAAGTGAAATGACCACCATTGGGATACGTTTATGTTGTGCTACCCATATCAGGTCTTTACTTCGCCGAGTGTTATCTGAGTCTTGTCTGTTGGGGATAAAGCCCACCTGGTCTGGGTGGATTATCCGTTCTAGGTGTGGGTTTTATCTATTGGACATTATTTTGGTGAGTAATTTAAGGTCCACATTGAGGAGGGGTATAGGTCTGTAGTGTTCGGGTTGCAAGTGGTCCTTGTTTGGTTTCGGGAGGCAGATGTGTGCGGTGACCATGTCTGTTGGCAGTGTGTCTCCTTTGAGCAAGGCATTAAAGACTTGTGTGAGGTGTGGCAGTAGCAGTTGATTAAATTCTTTATAGTATATGGCCGTGTACCCGTATAGGCCGGGGCTCTTGTTAGGCGTGAAGGTTTTGAGGGCCTCTACCATTTCTTCTGTTGTTACCTCCGCCGCTATGGCAGTTTTGGTTGCATGGGGTATGGTGGGGAGATTCAGTTTGTCTAGGAAGTCATCAATGGCTGCTCGGCGGGAGTGGTTCTCCATTATTGAGGGGGGGAATAGCTTTGGAATGTTATACAGGGCTGTTAAATAGCTTTGGAATGTTTCCCCTATTCTGTTAGGGAAGTTGCTAAGTTGTCCTGATGTATTTTGTGTATTCTTTTAGAGTCTATTCTATGTTTGAGGCGGCGTGCCAGCATCGAGTCCGCCTTGTTGCCTTTCTCATAGTATTTTTGTCTGAGCCATATCAGGGCTTTCGTTGTGTCGGCCTATGTAAGTTGTTTTACCTGTCCTCTGATGGCATTTAATCAGGTCAGAGTGGATTGTTGTGGGTATCGTTTGTGTTTTGTTTCTAGGCGATGGAGTTCCGTCAGGGCGTTTGTGAGCTGCTGTTGTCGGTGCTTTTTTGCCATCGCCATGCTAATCAGGTGGCCCCTAATGACTGCCTTGTGGGCCGCCCATATGGATAGCGGGGAACTCTCAGAGTTATTGTTGAAGTCAAAGTAGTCTTTGAGGTGTTTGGCTATTTTGGCCGTTATTAGTTAGTGTCGTATAGGCGTAGTGGATTGAGTTTCCCCGTCCAATGTCGCCTGAGATGGGGTATGCTCATGGTGAGCGTGATGTCAGTGTGGTCCGACCAGGAGATCGTGCCTATGTTTGTGTTGGTTATTTGAGGGAGTAATCTCGGGGAGATCAGGAAGTGATCTATGTGTGAGTATGATGCGTGTGGGTGGGAGTAAAATGTAAAGTCTCTTGTGGAGGGATGTTGGGCTCTCCAGACATCTAATAGGTTTGGGGTTTTTAAGAAGCGAGAGAATAGGGTGTAATTTCTAGTGGGCTGGGTGCAGTTTTGGTGTCTGGTTTGTCTCTCTATTGCTGGGGTATGTACAGCATTGTAATCTCCCCAATAATGATTGGGATGTTTGCATATGACTGTAAATGTGTCGTGTATTGGAGCCAGAAGTCAAGTTCCGGTGAGGTTGGTGCATATAGTGAGCTAATTGCATATTGGGTTGCGCCTATATTTCCGGTCACTGTAATGAAACGGCCCTGCGGATCTGTGGTGCATGTTATCTCTGTCAGGGGGCAAGATGTTCGTAATAGAACGGCTACTCCTGTTGTTTTTGTGTCCGGTGAGTTGGCCAGGAAACTGCGGTTGTAGTACCTGTTTGTGCGGGGGAACGCTCTATTAGCTGTAAAATGGGTCTCTTGTACTAGGACAGGGGTAGGCAACCTACGGCACTAGTGCCATTCACGGCACTCGGGGTGCATTTGCACAGC